TAACTTAGAATGGTGCCTATGTGCTAGTGAGCATGTAGCTCTGAGGATCCAGAAAGTTAGGGACCCATGGCTTTTCACTGCATTTGGCAAAGGCTTTCAAGAAAAGAGTGAGATCAGGAGAAAGGAAAGGGAATAAAATGCAGAAATTTGGGCTGTCTAGTATTGGAAACACCTATTGTTTCTAGAGTTTAAAAATAAGACTGAAAAAGCAGTAAAGGCCCTTTAAGACTTTTTGGTTAGACAAGGTACTTCACTCCTTCAGCAAAGATGGGATAAAGGGTATGGACTCCCCGTATGTGCCTTTGGTTTCAGATGACTTCTAGGTGCTCACTGTTCAGCTGATGGAGTAGGCAGAGTTCTAAAACAACACATTCATGTCCAGAAAAATATTCACTGTTCAGCTGATGGAGTAGGCAATCAGAGTTCTAAAACAACACATTCATGTCCAGAAAAATATTTTAGGTCTTGCTACTGACACATTGAACTGATGGGATAAAAATAGGGAAGAAGCCTGCTAAGTGTGTGAGGGACTTTTATTGCCAAGGAAAACACAAGCCAGGTTTCATCATGTTGTCGAAACCTTCAAAGGACCCCCAGACTCCCAAACTTGCAGGAATTGGAATTAGGTGAAGCGAGTGTCTCAAGCTGCATAGCTCACAAGGAGAACATTCTCCTCAAAACCCACTTCATGTGTGACCATGGAGGAGACTGGACAAGAAAGCCTCCCAGAGCTAGGAGCCTGGAGTTTTAGAGGACAATGAGCCAGGGGTTTCTTCCCAGAGAGCAGAATCAGAGTCCAGTCAAGGAACTCCCACTGCCAGGGCAAAGGGGCCTCCTCAATGCCTCACCAACAGGATTTCATAACTACTGCGGGCTGGGGCCTCCGGTGTCCCACATGCCTCCTATGGGCATTTTATCACAGATCATGCCAGGGCTCCACCATTGCGATTGTGGAGATAAATTTGTCTTAGCTCCAGACCTTTAGGAGCCACATTCAAACCGGTGCCTCACCTGGAGATCTTGGAATTTCAGTGGGATATAGTAGCTGGATGGGACTTTTGGCTGCTGCCTCTGAGGAAAGTGAGGGTGTTCTATGAGGGCAAGAAGATTAAAAAAAAAATGTATATTTGGATCTAAAGGGAGGGCCATTCCTAAGACTGGTAGTCATTTATTTAAAAATGTCCTCTTCCTGGGTGAACAGACTGCAGTTCCCAGACTCCCTTGCAGCTGCATGAGCCCACATGATTGAATCTTAGCCAAAGGAGCACGGGCACAAATGCTGTTTTGTTATTTCCTGACTCATAAAAACTGCCCATGGGCAGTCCTTTCTGCTCTTTCACCTTCAGCCAGCTGGTTGGAGACAACTCTACTACCACTTTGTAAATTTCATGTTGGAGATGGCACAGTCTTACCAGCCTGGGTCCCTGAATGATGAAGTGGAGCAGAACCCCTTTCTTACCTCCCTACTCCCCAACCCGGAGCTACTTAAAACTGCTATAAGAGAGCAAGGAGAAATTTCAGTAACATTTCAGATATATGAATTTTAGTCTGTTAACTGGTACACAAACATGGACTACCGGAAGCAATACTATAATGTAAAGGAATTGAGAACCAAGGAGCAGTAGTGGAATTAGATGAGTTAAATACGTCATGGAGGGGTTCTGGGAAGAGGTAAACCTTGAAGTTGACTTTGAAGAAGTTGTAGAACAATACCTGAGAAAAATAACTTTTTACATAGTTATCAAAAGTAATTGCTTTCCCATGTGATAAGAATGAAATATCTTCCTATGAATTTGAGAAAAATACCTCTATGCAGTGAGAATTGGCCTGCTGAACTTGTAAAGTGTAACTTATTTTGAGAAACACCAATGGCAAGGAGCCAGCTAAGATCAAAGGTCACAATTTCATAATCCTCAGGCCTTATCAAGCCTACTGGCCAGAGCTGCCTCTCAGACATGTTTTTACAGTATTGTTGTTTTTTGAGGGGTGGGGGTGGGGGCTTAGAGATATCCCTTCTGAAACTTGGATATTGTTCTGAGTTCCAACAATCTTGAGTCTATCTATATTCCTTCATGGCAATAATCAGCTGATGCTGAGTCTTAGCTGTTGTCCACTGTGGCCTCCAGTCTGCCAGAGCCCACCATTCCTGGGATGGCCCCACACTGTTAATCGCTGGCATGTGTCACTCATCCGGTTACCTACCTGGCTTAGGTAGGCATTTGAAGTTGTGTCCCAAAGCCAGACTATATACCTGATTCATAAAGTTTTGTGACAATTCATTTAAAAAATGTTTTTAAAGTTCACATAATTTGGACCCTTAAAGAAAATACAACTAGAACTTGTTTTATTATCTATTTGGTTTTGTTTTACTTCATAGATCCAAGATGTTGGAAATGACAGACGGAGTTATGCTTTTCCCTCACAGGTATGGAATGGTGGAGTCGGGTCACAGCATGGAGATTTACGCTCTCCTGGGGAAAGGAAAATGGAACCCATGTGTTGTTATTATTATTCCATGTTATTGGGCAGTTAATATGTGCTAATCAATTGAAATGACAGTATCTAATTTTTCCTCACATCAGCCCTGTAAAGAATGTATTATCCCGAATTACAGGAGAAGTAAGTCAGTGTAATGAGCTAAGTGTGATGTAAACAAGTGTGTCTGACACCAGGCTTTGTGCTTTTAGCCACCATTTCAACCACTTCCAAAGCCAGGCAGCCCCATCCTGGGGAGCATGCCTGGGGCCCATGGCTGCCCCAGTGCTGGCCTTCTGTCCATTCCTCAGTGTGTGTCCCAAAGAGGGCTGCATGGGGCAGTGCAAGTCTGGGCTGGCACATGAATCCCGTCTCCGCTATTGAACAGCGATAGACAACACTCTGCCCTGAACTCTTCCCAGTCTGCCAAGCTGCTTGGCTAGCAGAACCAGGGACTTCTGTGTCCTTGTAAGGAGATTTTGCACCACAAAGGGAAGAGTAGGTGCCAGCTGAGTCAGAGACTCTACAGGTGAAAATAAACGGCACAAAGGCAAGTGGCCCCCTTCTCCCTGTCGGGCATGGCATCAGACAGAGCCACTGTGTAGATGAGACAGCTGCCTTTCCCAGCCTAATACCATAGCCACTTGACCTAGAAAAGCCAGCACTGGAGGATGAAATATTCCTATGGAGGATGTTACTATTCATTCATTCATAAAATCCACCACACTAATTAAGCACCCACCATATGCCAAGCTTAGGGACTCCCCCTGCGCCCCGTGCTGTGGGTACAGCAATGAAAACACTTCTACTTTTGAGGTGCCCCAGTCCAGAGGCATGGATAGTGTAAGAATTATTATAATGCAAAATATATTTCCCTCAATGTCATGGAACAAAGTGGAGGGAAGAATTAATTCTGCCTGGGAGGTGGGTAATAAGACACAGCTTCAGAAAGGAGGCTTTGGTCTTGTTCCAATTTTGTTTTGAGAAGAGGTGTTGGAACATCATCTGCTGTTGGCTGCTGAGTGTTCATTCTCCTCCTTTCTTTGGGAACCTCCTGTGTGACTACAGAAATGATCTGCTTGATATCCACCCTTTCTTGGCCATGGTGACCCAACCTGGTGCAGTCAGAGTCAACTTTAGCTCACAAAAGACTCAGAATCTTGTCCCTGTCTCTCTCTCTCTCTCTCTCTCTCTCTCTCTCTCTCTCTCTCCTGGATTCAGTTTGAAAATGAACTGCTAATAGTGCTGCAGCCATGAGCAAAGAGCTGGGGCTCCTGCAGGAGCCATGATGTAGATTCAGAAGATGGAGGAAGCTTAATGAAAACTGGGCAGAGAGGTTGATCTTTGCAACTCATTTGAGCCCTACAATCATCCGGTCTGAAGCTACACCGACCCCTGGGCATTGTTCTTTTCTCTGAAGCTGGTTTTAGTTAGGTTTTCTGTGGCTTACAAACTAGAGGAGCCCTAACTAATACAGGTCCTTTCTCTGTTTCCCTGCCAACAGATTAGGATTCTGTTCCATTTCTCTCCCACCACTTCCCCCCGCCCCAGGAATAATTATTGTTGCATACTTTCAATTCTCAAAGTTCTATAGGAGAGATAAGTCAGTTGTGAGATAAAGAACTAGAGGCCCCTTCCCATTGTTTCAAATTGAGCCCATTAGCGTGTGAAAAGGCTTACTAACACCATAGGTGAGGACGTGTTCTTTAGCTTACCTAACTGGTCCTTGTGCTTGAGACCATTCTGTGAAATGACCAGCAGTAATTTACATGGAGGTAGCTGTCAACTCTCTCCGGGGAGGTCATAGAAGTCTCCCCCAGAAAGTGGTGCTTGAGCTGTGCCTTTTAGGATAAGATGGAGATTTCCACGAGGGAGAGGAGGGGAGAGGGGAGGAGTGTTGGAGGCATCTTGTGAACAGGCAGAGGAATGGAAACTATGCTGGCTTCCTCCAACTGCAGTGTTGGCTGATGGGGTCTGAGAGGGGAAGCAGAGCTCAGGCCTGTAGGCCTTGTAATCACACTAAGGAGCTGTGAGGATGAAACATAAGTCCATTTATAAAGAGTTAAAGTGGAATGAGCTTGTATGCAGGGAAATCCGTTATTGAACTGCTGAAAGAGGTCAGGTGCAAGGGAAGAATCTAAGAAACTCGCCAGGAAGTAATGTGTCGGGGGTGGGGAGTGGGGAAGGGTGTAGGATCCTTCCAGCCCAGGTGATTGGTGGGTGATGGTGCCATCACCAGGACTGGAATAGAACGGTAAACCGGTCTGGGAGCTTGAGCATTTTGAATAGGTAGAACTAGGAGCCATCGGATAGGCCAGTGATGGCGAACCTATGACACGCATGTCAGAGGTGACATGCAAACTCATTTTTTTGGTTGATTTTTCTTTGTTAAATGGCATTTAAATATATAAAATAAATATCAAAAATATAAGTCTTTGTTTTACTATGGTTGCAAATATAAAAAAATTTCTATATGTGACACGGCACCAGAGTTAAGTTAGGGTTTTTTAAAATGCTGACACACCGAGCTCAAAAGGTTCGCCATCACTGGGATAGGTATCTAAGAAAAGGTTTCTTCTTGCCAGTTTGACGGACAGCTCTGGGCCCGTGAGAGAGACCTGGGCGAGTCAGCAGAGGGTTGGTGCTAAATAGTGCAGAGCTCTTCTCCTGGGCACATCTAGGCTACCTTTCTCATCCATGCTGGCCATAACATGCAGCCATGGAAGGACTGTCCATGGGACCTGCAGGCGAGGCCCTAAGGAACTTGGCACAGTCTGGGCATCCCACGCTAAGTGGAAGGACTGAGGGTGTGGGAGCACAGAGCTTGGCTGCAGGAGCCAGGCCCTCTGAGTGGCTGTGTGGATCAGGGCTCCTGCTCCCCAGATTGCCTCCCAACTCAGAATGAGCTATGAAAAGAATAAAAAGTTAACTTGACCTGCGAGGCCTCAGACATTTTGGGGGAGGGATGTTAGCCTGTCTTGATTAACACAGCTGGAGTGAGTGAGCTGAGAGTCATTTCTGTGAGTGGAGGTGAGCTGGGGGGCAATGTGCTGCTCAGGAAAAGTCTAGTCCAGGAAGAAAGGTGGAGGATGGAGCCTGAGGAAACCCGGCTGAAGGAGGAGCTGAAGAAGATGGGGTCTGAGAGGAGGTGAGGGCGGCAGGTGAGCCCCGGGAGGCAGGGGCATTTAGGAAGAGTGTGGGTGACATTGTAATGTGCTAGAGAGATGTCAGGACAGAGTGACAACAGAAAAGTGTTCACAGAGGTTGTCAAGTAAAGAAGGTGATACGCTCAGGTGGGCTGGAGCAGAAAGGTGCTGTGAGGGGCCTGAATGATGAAAGGGGTCAAGGGGAGCTAATGAGTGGAGTCAGCAGTCTAAGGAACTTGTCTAGAAGAGAAAGAAGAGAGGTAAAGAAACAACTAAACAGAAGGTCAAGGGGAAAATGTAAAACAGGATTATTTGCACATGCTTATCAATCATAGGTAATGACTTACGCTCTCTGAGGAAGCAAGAAGAAATTGGACCCACAACAGAGGTGGCAGAATCAGGCCTCTCAGAGAAAGGACAAGAAAGTGAAGGTGGATGCAAATACGGATCAATTGCAGGTGGTGGTGGTGGTGGGGTGGAGGGTCTGAACATCCCCCTCCTATTAACCTAACTTGTCCTCTGTGATTTAGAAAGTGGGGATCCGCCCAGAAAGCTCAGATGGCAAAGTTTGGAAGTTTGAGAAAAGCACTGAAGACAGATAACAAAGAGGACTGGTGGACGGAAATGATTAAAGGCAAGGACTTTTGATTCTCACAGCAAATCCAAGCCCTGCACGTCCTTGGAATCTCTGCAGAAGCCCTGCCCCTCAGTCACCAGGCTCCAGGACTGGGGTCCGGGGCTGTGCAGAAGACAGGATGGACTCAGATGCAACTGGATATCATGGAGGCAGTAACAAGATAGTCCACATGGGAGAAAATGCAGGCCTGGGTTTGAGCAGTGGTTTAAGGGAAAGGGGAGGTGGGACTGGGATTTAAAGACATAAATGCTGTAGAATTGAGAGGACTGCATGACCAACTAGATATGAGGGTTAGGACATTGGTCCTGGATGGGCGCCTGGGACAGACAGTGTGTCTTTAGGAGGGTCTATCCCAGCAGTACTGACACCTACAAAGGTACACAACAGAGTCACACATTACACATTTTGTGGGGCTGGGGGTGTCCTACACAGCCTCTGGGTCTTCCCCCTCCCTCCTTTTACAGAGGGGACACTGAGTCCCAGGGGTGTGAAGTCACTTACCCATGATCGCAGAGTTAGTGTCCAAGACAGCCCTGGAACCCAATGATTGGAAGGGAAAGAAAAGAGTTGGAGAGAGACAGGGAGAAGAAGAGAGAAGGGGCATGCATTCGTTCATCCCTCCACTCACTTCTTCATTCGGCAAGTAGGTATTGCCTTTTAGGTTCTGGGACCTGCTTTTAGGGAACTTCTAGCCAGGGAGGGGGCATAGACCGCCTTTGGGAAAAGTGTGCAGGATTCGTGGGACCTCCAGGAGGAAAGAGTCATTTCTGTGCGGTGCTGGAGTGGGTGGATGCGAGTGCCAGGAAAAGCGTCCAACTTGACCGAGGAAGCAACTTGACGGAGTGTTAAAAGATGAGGTGGACCAAGTGGAAAAGGACAGCTCATCAGAAGGAGTGAGAGCCAGGCCAGAAAGCAAGCTGTCTGAGGTAGCCCTTAGGTTGAAGAGTGAGGGAGTGTATCCCCTTGGAAACCCTGTTTGACTGGTGGGGGAACGTAGTGGGAAACTTCAAAGAGAGGTCTTGCTGTAGCGTGGGGGATGGCTTCGCCCCTTGCGGGCCTGGTCAGTGCACATCAGCCAGCGGGTGGGAAGAAAGTTGTCTCGGAAAACTGGAGGGGGCAGAGCACAAAGCCAGACCCTGGGCTCCAGGATCAGCTCCACTGCACCCAAACCGCCAGATACCACACTGGGCACTTGGATCCTGGAGGCGAGTCAGATTTATAAATGACACAAATAAAAAGTGGCCGCGCTAAAACCCATGAGCAAGAGTGTTGAGAGAGGGAGTAATTCCATCCAGCTGGGAAGGAGGAGCAGAGGGAGGATCCCGAGGAAGAAGCAGGATTTCGATAGAGTTGATGGGAGTCATAGAGAAATAAAAGGTTTACTGGGGAACCATGAATTATTCTGATGGCATTTCTACCTTAGGGAGGAGTGTCCGTGGGTTTCACAGAAGCAGCGCTGGGACCTGTGTTTTCTCCGAGCCTGGCTCCTTGGGTCTGCCTACCTCATCCTCTCACATGCTGGGTCAGCAGTTCTCTTACTGGGGCTGTCTTGGCTTCATTTTCACAGTTTGTGTGGCTCTCTGTAGATGTGAAATAAATGTCCGTTGAATGATTAAAAATGGCGATGAGAAAATATTTGGAAGGGCCTCAATCCTCCCACCACTAGGGAAAATCTGGGATTTTAAAACAGAAAGTTTAGTTTGCCCACAGAGCTTCCTTCTCCAGGTTCTGCATCTTTTCATGTGTCTTCTGATGTTTTTGTGAATCCTTCTGAAGTTTGGTGAACCATTCCCAGAACAAGGTGTGTGTATGTCTTTGTCAAGTAGTAGATCAATTATTTTTTTAGAACAAAGTTTTAAATATTATAATAAAATATGCAGGATCATAAAGAAAACCTTTATATTAAAATACAGTTTCAGAATATTAAAAAAATAAATTAGTGGTATGGTAATAGAGAACGATTATTTTTAACATATTAACTAACAAGATCTAGCAGTAGACCTCATTAATTGCTGTAATTTTGAAGTAATAATGAGCTTAATGGCATTTTGAAATAACTACATCTGTAATAGATATGAAATATCTATGATTTCTACTGGTAATTAAGTCACATGAACTGCTAACACTACTATGGTTTGTTGTCTGCATTTATTACCAAAGGAAATGCTAAATGACAATTAGAGGTTAGTGAAGCAAACATGCATTTCTCCTCCACCACCACCCCCAACCCCCCATCCAAGCTTATGCAGCCAAGGAATTCTCTCCCTGGCCACCATTGCTCAGCATCTTCATCTGCCGTTACTATAAAGGCTGTGGTCGCTGGCGTGGGGCACCCCTGGGAATGGGCATCTGCCATAAACTGCCTCAGGGAGCTCAAGCAGGGAAGTGCTGGTGTTTGGGAATAATTTTGATCCTGTGGATGTAGGAGGAAATGGTTTGTCACCAGGAGAACCCCAGACTCAAAAGCTTTAACAGTTTGAATAGGCTGTTGGAAAAAAGTGTGTAGGACATGAAGGAGTGGGCTCCTGGTTTTAAGTATGCCTCAACTTTGAATTTTCTCCTTTTCACCTTAGTGACCAAGAATTCAGGGAGCTGCATAAGTACCTTTAAGTTCATAGAAGTTAGCTGAAGGTGTTTGTTTGTTTATTAGTTTGTTTGTTTTTTAGGCTGTGTATCAAATTGGAAATGATGAAAAAGTCGATGAGAGTGGGTAGAAACAGCCTCATTCTGCGTGTGGGTCAACATTTCTGCAGGGCAGTTTGGCTCTATGGACTCAAATCCCTAAGTGTGCGTATACCCTTTGGTCCAGCCATCCCATTGCTAAGTAATTGTTTTCTTAAGAAAGTAACTATATGCTGCTTATAAAGATACATGTACATAATGTTTATTGGTGTTTTAAACAATAGTAAAACAAAAATGAATCAAACGAACAAAAACCAGAAAAGATCACTTACAATAAATTGCAAAGAGGACTAAACCAAACATAGCCAGATCCAAAATAGTATCCCTGTTGGATGCCATTGGGAAAGCTAAGGCACGCACTGGTGGAAAACGCTAGAAGCACTTACGTGAATGCTAACAGTGGTCCCCTTGGCAAGGCGGGGCTACCCACAGCATTGTTTTCTCCTTCTGCTCTTCTAGGTTTTCTGAAGTTCCTGCAGGAGCTTAGATACATTATTTCCCAGGACATGTAGAGGACATTTGTGTGGACAGAGGACCGCTGCATGAGTTTCAAAAATCATTTCTCCACGAATTTACAGCTCAATTCAAATGTGTCTCTTAATCTCTTAACAGTGTGAATTCAATGAGACAATTTAAGAAAACAAGACAAAACAAAAACACAAAGGAAACCCAAAGTTCCCCCAAAGAAGTGTCTGAAGCATTTGCAGTGTAACCACCCAAAGCCAGACTATTTGGGGGGCGCGGCATCAGGACCCTCCTGCAGGCTCCTCTCCCCACTCACAGCGCGGACCTGGTGGTGAGACGTGGTCACGCCAGCTTCTGCCACTTCCAAGCGAATGTGTCCCTAGCAAACGAGTGGGCTGGCACCGGGCATGGGAGTGTGAGTGTCTCACAGGTCAGGGACCACTGGGCCCCTCGGACCTCGCCTCACTCCTGGGCGCTCACTTCCTCCTCTCACCTACAAGGAGCACACACTCTTCTTGCTAAAACACAGCCTTCTGGAACCGCTAACTTCAAATGTCTGAAAGCTCTGATGCTTTGGCTTTACAAACCTTATCTCACAGAGATTGACTGCATATCTATTGAAACAAATATTTATAGAACGTTTGGGCCTTTGCTCCACAAATATTTACTGAGTGCTCACGTCACAGACAGCAAACATTCTGGCCTCCCTGCAGGACCCTGGGGCCCCTCCATCCACCATCCATCAGCAGATTCCAAACATTCTTCCCAGTTTGGTTAAGGGAGGCCCTGGGGGTGAGGATGTAGAGCCGGGGAGGGGGTTTCCGGTCCTAGGCTGGGTGAGGGCCTTGCTGGGGAGGCAGGAGAAGCGGAACTTTGATGATGGTGAAGTTGGGCCGGGATGTCCTGGGTGCAGCCACCAGGAGCCCACGAAGAGGCAGAAGTGGACTGGTTATGTGCTGATGTGATCACAGGGCTTTATGCCATTCCTTCCTTCCTCCCCTCCACCCTCTACCTACATCTAAAGAGATCTTCTCTACATAACTGTACAGAGCTATGAGCACCCAATATATAGCTCCCATCGCCCACAGAAGGGAGACTGGAAGGAAAATCATTTCAACCTAGAAACAGTGCTAGGGGAGCATGAATTTAAAGGCAGTCTTGGAGCAAAGAAGGAATGACCAGCATGGCTGGAGGGCAGAGGAGGAGGATCCCAAGGAAGGAAGAGTGGGCGTAAAAGAAGAGATGTTTGATACCAGGCAGCAGGGCCCAAGAGGCAAGCTGATGGCCCCAGAGGAGGCTCGGGGAGTATCATGGTCACCCTCCGGCCGCAGAGTTGAGGCCTCAGGAATGTACTGATTCCCCTGCAGGAACCCTGTGCTGACGTCTGTGGGGAAGGCGGGGTGGGGGGAGGGGGCTGGGCAGGAGCCATGGCTGTGCGGCACAGGGACCGCTTGGGAAACATGCAGTGGGGGTGGCCCTGGGAGGAGGGAGCAGACCTGAGAAATATCTAGGAATAAAATGGACAGGTGGCAGGTAAGGAAACCGAGGGAGTGAGGGCCAGCAGTTCCTGGTGCTTTGCCTGGCAGCCTGCACGGTGAGGCAGGAAGCGGAGTTGTTTAGAGTTGGTGTTGGGACGGCCTGATGGGGAGCCCTGTAGGCAGTTGTTTGCTGGGATTGGGAGCTCGGGAGAGAGGACCCTGGGCCAGAGCTGAGCATTACAGACAGACCCGTCCTGGTAAAGGGGCCAGTGACCAGTGTACTACACGGGACCTTGGACTGGTTGTTTTATCTCTCAGGGCCTCAGTTTCCTCCTCTGTGTTGTGTGGATTGTGGTGGCGGTGGCGGTGGTGAGAATTAAATGAGATAAGCTATGTGTTGTGCTTAGAACAATGCCTGGTGCATTGAAGTGCCCCAAGAGTGTTAGCTGCTGTATGACTGTTTGGGACCCCTCGGGTTCTGAGTGGTGGCTGAAGCCTTATGAATGGATAGGGCGGCCCAGGGAGAGTTGTGTGTGAGCCGGGAGAAGCCCAGGACAGCTGTGACCCCGAGCAAGCAAGGAGCCTTTCTCACTCAGCTTTTGAGACTCTAAGGCAGAATGGTGGCTAGAATAAATCCCAGGGCTGTGGTTTCAAATATTTTAAAAATAAATTCTCAACAGACCTTCTACATGCTGCAAACAACTTAGTTTTATGAGCAAGTCAAATTAAACATCTACTCTTTATGTTTCTCAATGAACAGAGTGACACTGTCAATACCACACAGGACATTTCTAAGGTTCCTGGGAACTGCTGTTGAGTTGACACTTGAGGTTAACCTGCTGTGTGACCTTGGGGAGCCGCCACTCTCTCTGAGCCCGAGTTAATGCACAGTAAAATGAGTCGGTCAGATCAGAATCGTCGCTCAGGTTTCTCCCAGTCCTAAAAGTCTAGTTCTAAAGGCAGCTGCTAGGTGTTAGTTACTTGATGAACTTGGAAGTTCAAAGACAAATCTTCTTTAAAAACATGTGTCTATAGAGGGCAGAGGACAGGATTTGCCCACCTGATACCAAAGCAGGTGGCAGAGGACAGTGTGATGAAGCAGACAGTGCTCAGGTCTGGGCATCCCACAGCCCCAGCAGGGAGAGCCAGTCAGTTGGTTGGCAGCCGGCTGGGGCCCCTGTGTGTGAGCCACTGTGCTTGAGGTGGGCATCCGCCCATGACCCCGCAGACATGGTGTCTGCCTCTGTGCACTTACAATCTGATGGGGAAGGGAGATGTTGAACAAGTCCCGTTGATGAATAGAGTGATGCTAAGACCATGGGCAAGTTCCTGAATTTCTTCAAGCTTCTTTATAAAATGAGAACACAAATGTTTAATTTGAGGGGTGTTTGAGAGTAAATGCACTATATGGTTTATTTATTTACCTGTGATGGGCTTACAGAGATGCATGGAGTACAACAGAAGTTAATAAATGAGGACATGGGGATAAAGAGATAATATGACGAAGAAAAGGTAAATTAATCTCCAAGTTGCACATGGACGGCTCTGTATACTAGTTGCTAGCAGTGGGCTGCCAATTCAGTTCTGAGCTTCTAAGCTATCAAAGACAGAGGACATGTGATCAGTCTGATCATATCACTTCTGGTTGAAATTTTTCGGTGGCTTCCTATTGCCCTTAGACAAAAGCCAAGCGCCTTCATCTGCCCTACAGCCTTCTCTGCTCCCACCAGCCCTCACATTTTATGTCACAGAGAAGCCAAACTTCTCCCTTTGGACCAACCATTTCCTGCTTTCTTGTTCTTTCTTTCCCAGCTCAGCTCACCTGTCTCTTCCTCTAGGAAGCTTCCCTAACCCCGAGGCTGGGCGAGAGAGAGAGTGCTGCTCTCTGCTCCCCGAGAATCCTGTACTTCCTTCCTTGTGGGCTCCCGGCCTATAATTGCTGATCTGTCTTCCTCCCAGTCACCCAGCTCCTTTCCTGGGGCTCTGTTCTTCCCAGAGTGCCTTACACACCATGGGCTCTCAGTAAATATTAGCAGAATTAATGGATCTGCTGAAAGTCACACAGCTTTCCTGTCCTGAGATCTGTCAGGCTCCCCAACAGATCTTCAGAAAGGGGATGTCATGGAGCATAGGGGACACATAGTGTGGTCCTCAGCCTGGCTGGTCAGATTAAATAAGTGGTGATCTGGGAAAAATGGAAAATGATTACAGCAGGACTCTGAAAAA